TTCAGGTGTTTGTTGAGCTTCTGACCAAATATCATCTACATCTGTTTGTGGCACGTGCCTGTGGTGCTATGAGCCTGGTGCTGTGTGTCCATCCTGCAGGCTCTGGCTCATGTTCCCCACTGCAGTCAGCAGTGTTGCAGTCCCAGGCAGAAATGTCCCTATAGCTTCTTCACTGACTTTCCCGTGGTGGCTGGGATCCAGGGCAAAATTTCCTCTGTGAGGAGCAAAACATTCAGAGAGAGATTGTGCAGAAAGTCAATGCTGGTGCATCCTCAAGACGGGAACAGAGCCAGTGGCACAGGGCAGGGTGTGCTCACAGGGATGTGGGGTTGGAGCACAGTCCCTGATGTCCAGCTGTACATGCTGAGTAGTTCAAATCTTCTGTCAGAGTGGGGAAGTTTAGCTCCTGGGTGTGAAGAGCTGGTTTGTGAGGCTACTGCTGAGAAGGTCCATTCTGACCAGCTAACACTGACCAGCATGGGCAGTGGAGGCAGAGCTGGCACATGGCAGCAGATCTTGATGGCTGGCAGTGCACCAGTGCTCCCTGTCAGCCAGCCTGCCTGAGGAGGAAACCCAAGTGGAAACACTGATAACACCTCCTGCTTGTGGCCAGAGGCCCAGGGGCCCTGCACAGCAGGGCAGAGTCTGGAGGAACCAACACTGAGCCCATCACAGAAGGGCCCCATGCTCCAGCCCAACCCCTGGGATTGCTTTGCATGCACCAACCCCCCAGTGCCAAAAAGCACTGCAACCCCCACACCCTGGGGCAAGCATGGGCACTGCACAGGGATGTAGTAGAAAAACTAAAGGTTTATTTTTTTAATAAAATACATCCTTACAAAATAACCCTTCTTCTCTCCTGGGGCATGGTTCCTGCCAGGTCTCCTTCCCTCCTCTTCTCCTCAAGTTGCAGCTGTCCAAGGGTACCACTAGGCAGGGAGAGGACAGCAGTGCTCTCCCTAGGGACTTCAGGTGTGTGGTACCCTGGTATGACCCTGGCACACCAGGCAGGTGCAGTGGGAGCCCTTTGGAAGGGTCTGCAGTGGTGGCAGATCCCAGTGGCCTGCAGCAGGGCTGGCAGAGGGCCCCAAGCGTCCCTTAGTTAGCTCATCATGATCACAGCATGTCCCAGCGGAGTGTGGGTGCCGGGCCGGCCGGCCCCTGCCCTGGCTACAGGGCACCACCTTCCCATGAGCTGCTGTTAGACGCTGCTCCTGCTGGCCCTGGGGCTGGCACAGGGTGGTGACAGGGGATGGCAACGGTGTTGTAGGAGAGGAGGAGGAGGAAGAGGGTGCAGGTTTGTCAGTCAGTGTGGATTCTGCCAAGAGAGAGAGGTGCACAGTGATTTCTGGTGCCTTCTCCCTACTGCCCCTCTCTGAGTGATGATGCCAGTCCCAAATCCCACACCCAATGCTGTCCTGAGCAACTGCTTATGCTGAGAAACACTGACCCCAGGTTAGACATTACAGCCCACAGCTCAGATCTTCTCCTTGCCTTCCCTGGAGCACTGCTGCCTTCCCAGGGGCCTTGGGATAGTCCCAAGACATACAGCCCTCACTCCTGCCAGCCACTGATAGATAGCAGGGCTGTGGAAACACAACTCACCTCTCACTGTGTGTTGTCCAGATCCTTTTCCTTCTTATGTGACTTCTGAGGGTTAAATGAGAGGAAACAATGATTCTTTACAGATCTGTCCCTTTCTAATTCCAAGGAAAGAATGTGGCTGAGCACCAATTTCTAACCCAGAATGTATAAGCATATTTTCATACGAATTTGAGGGGAGCTGGTTTTGTGTCCTATGAAAGGCCATGAAATATTCCATGGTCATGGAGATGTTCTCAGAGAGCAGAAAAGAGGACATTTTCCAGTTTGCTAAAGCACTCATCTGCCCTTGCTTCCCTAAAAGCAATGCAAGTGTTACCAGATATTGGACATCTGGGGTTAAAGAGAAAGAATAAAGCTATTAATAGTGAGTCACACAGATCTCAGAAATGTGGAGAGGAGATTCATGGATCCCAGTCTCTGACAGTCCCAAGGGCTCAGGAAGGTGCCTGGTTGCTCCCCAACATGGATGTTGTTTGTGTTAGAGCATCATTACTCATGCACATATCCACACTCACACCCCCACAAGAACCTCCTCAGGGCAGGGACTCGCTGTTACTTACAGGCTCCTGTTCTGCATATTTGAATTTCTTCTGCTTGTAGTAGTCCCGTCCTTGGAGGAAATGCAGCAGGAGCAGGTCACAGAGGACAGAGGCCTTAAATCAAAGCACAGTTAGGGTTGGGGCTGCCCTCCCTCCCTCACCTGGATCACAGTGTACTTCCAGCTTGTCCCAGTTTGCCCCACAAATTAGGCTCACTTCTGTTTCAACCCACAAAGTGGCAGCTGCTAGAGTGTACAACCCCCAAATATCCTTTTAGGACAGAATGAAGCGTGCTGTGTTCCATACTGGGTAACTTAAATCAACAGAAATGAAGTGTTGCCACTTCAGCTAAGTGCAGAGCACAACACCCTTTGAGTCATGCCCAAGTCTTTAATGACCAGAACCAAACAGGATGCTGTTTCTTTGTCCTGCATGGAATACTGCCCATCACCTCCCAAACCCCCTCAACACCAGCTCTAACTTGAAACCATCAGGACACCAAGACATAGCCCTGCCATGAGAGCTGACCTTCCCCTCATTGGCAGGGCAGAATTCAGATCAGTCAGTTGTCAGCATGAATGCATTTCCCTGAGCTAACAAGACAGGAGAGCACCTCCTTCCCTCCTTTTGCCCATCCCCTGGTTTCCTGAGCAGGAGCCAGTATTTCACTTCTGCTCAGGGACACTTCCCACGAATGTCACAGGCAAGAAGAATAATTTGAGAGTCTCCATATAGAGGCTGGAAAATATCTGAACTTACCACTCCAAAAATACCAATTCCAGAGCCAATTGTGGTCATGGTCGGGATGATGTCAAATTTGCCTGCCTGAATAAAGTCAGAGAAAATAGGTGATAAGTTACAATCAGCCCAGGGGAAAAGAACAGGGTGCCATAGCTGTAGGTGGGGCTTGGCAAAAGTGCCTCACAGCAACCCAAACCACAACCACAGCATGGAGAGAAACAGGAGCTGGGCAAGAACTGGTCAAACAGAAAAATATTGTGGGTTAGGATTAGGCTGAAATACATTGAAGTTACTTTGTTTCCTGTATGTTTAATTTTAAAACAAGTATACCCTTTAAACATTCCCAGTAGGAACACAACAAGGAAAGCCTTCTCTCCCAGTGGGAAGAAAAAGACAAAATAGGAAAATGCAAATGTTCAGCTTCTGGAAATACCAGTGAAAGGTTTTGACTTTCCACAGTTCTTCCCCCAGTGAGATGTTTTTTGGGCAAAACCACTGACCAAACTGCAGCTGATAGATGTGACCTGCAAAACAGACTTCCCCTCTATGCTCCCTTCCCCAGGACTTCCCAAGTGAGTGGAATAGCACTCAAGAAAACCATTCACACTGGTTTTCCTGGCCCCACAGGACCCCAGTGCTGTGTTACAGAGCTGGACATGGCACTACTGTCCTGAGGATCCAGGGGTGATCCCAGTGCCAGGCCACCCTTACCTTGCCATTCACCAAAATGTCAAACCGGATCCCAAACACCTTGTAGAGTGTCCTTTTCTCCATCCCATCTTCTTTGTAGTATTTGGCATATCTGTCAGATTGGATGGTGAGCATTAATGGCCTGTGAGGCTGTCTAACAGCCCCTCTGCAACCCAACAGCACCTGATTCTCAGTGGGACAAAGATCTGGGGATGTGCTGTCACAGACCTGTTCCCAACCTTCTCCTTAACCTCCCTGAAGGAGCTGGGCTGTTGGCACCTCTCCTCCCAGTGCCTCAGTTTCCCTGCCTGCAGGTTGGATTTCCAGCTCCTGCTTGTGCAGTTTGACCTGATGTCCCCAAGTGCTGCATGACAGTAGATACTGGTGGAGAATTAGTGGCAGCATCACACAGAGCAGAGGTTAGAATGTGTTCTGAAGTGTGGGATCACCCTGCACCACCTCCAATCTTTCAAGGGGCTTCCCCAGAGCTCAGCTGAGCAGCAGAGTCTGCAAAAGGGAGGGGGTGTACAGGGAAAGGTAATTTTGAGACCAAGGGGTGTGTTATCACTTTTTTTCCCCTGCTGTTTTAAAAAGAACACTGCTGTCTAGCACTGCAAAGGTAGGGAGTATTTTGGAGAACAGACCCTGATCTTCCACCATCCCTTGAGTGCTGTGGGAACCCAAAAGCTGTCACCTCTGAATTACACTTGGAGAATTAACAGGCATTTCCTTACCTGAAGTTGAAGCCTGGTGAAACATTACTGTCATCATTGTAAAGGCCATGGAACTGGTAAATGGGTTTGCAGTACCGCACGGGCCAGTCGAGGTCACAGTTCCAGTCTATGGTGATGCCCACCACTCCACCCTGCAGCCAAGAGGGAAGTCACAAGGTTGCCCCTTCTTGGACCTGGACTTCATGGAGAAATGCTTTCCCTCCTCATGTGTGTCCTGTCTCAATGCTATGAGGTGAGCTGCCTCTCCAGGGTACATGGACCCCACTGCTGCCTCAGCCCTCCTGGGCAGCCTCAGCTTTGCACCCTGTACATCACCCTTTGCAGAGGCACTTGCTTCCACCCTCAATGCTGGATACACAACTAGATTCATGCCCTCTTGTTCCCCATCAGCACCCTGTGCTCAAGGCAAGGTCCTGAGAAACAGTGCTAACCACAGATCCTGCAAGTCCCTCATGGGACAACCTTCCCTTGCCTGATTTTGCCCAGGAGATTGCTCAGGAAATGAAGCTGTCACTCCCAAGCTCCCTCCAGGCTGTGAATAGTCATGCCCCAGAGGCTCATTTTTGCACCTTTAATATATAGAATTACAGAATGGCTTGGGTTGGAAGGGATCTTAAAGCTTATCCCATTCCACCCCTTGCCATGGCCAGGGATACCTTCCACTAGACCAGGCTGTTCTAAGCTCTGTTCAACCTGGCCTTGGACTCTTTCAGAAATGGAACATCCACAGCTTCTCTGGGCAATCTCTTCCAATATATGTAAATCTGATTTTATTCAATGCCTGGCAAAATTGTTATAAGATACTGAGGCCCAGAAATAGATGATACTCTCACACACCAGTCTGAGAAGTGTTGGGCAAAACTGCATTTCAGAGCCTGGGGAAAGGCTGCAGTTTGCAGTGCAATGACCAATATTTGACCATCCAGCTGGGATTTCCAAGCTCAATAGGATGGGATTTGGCCATGCAGCTCTAGTTATTCATTGCACAAATTAAAACAAACTGAACCCTGGATTTACTGCCAGTGGGTCAAATCCTGTCAAGAGCTTCCAAGAAAGGCATAAATATTAGGCCATATCCAAGGAGATTCATAATCTTTAACAGCTAATTCTGACACTTCTTTTTTCTCAAGGAATCTTGAGAAAACAAAAAATTGTCCCACAGGATGGGGATGATTTCTCTGCCAGCGTCCCTCTTCCCATGTCAGCAAGAAACACCATTTGATACTGAAGTACCTTAACAGCCAGGAAGGTAAAATTCTGACCCGATTCCTTCACTATGTATCCCAGTTCAAACACAGGACATAAGGAATCAGTGACTTTGTTATAGGTGCATTTCTTCAGGTACTGTTTTGTAACACTCTCAACCAAATTGCGCCTGTCAATGAAAAGAAAGTGAGAAAGAATCTGAGTAACACAATAGTTTGGGTGGGAAACAACGTCCAGAGTTCCCTTATAACCAAGAGCCCTCTCTCATGCCAGCTTGTCCATGGGCTCTGCCAGGCCATGCTGTGTGCACAAACAATTCTTATTTGGGACAGCTCATGGATAGGTATCCCACAGTTTTCCCATTTAGCTGGAGTTGGCTAACTCCTCCAGATAGGGTGTAAGGAAAGGACGATGTCTTGCCTTCCACCTCTCTCTGCTCTTTTGCCTAAAAATAGACTCTCCATGACCCAGATGGTTTTGTAAGACTTGTGCCTTGCACAATCACATCCCATCCCTGATGCTCAGCAGTTAACTGTCAGCAGTGACCAAAGGCAGGAAGTTTCCCCACGACCTAGCTGGGTTGGGCACAGCCTCTGCCCAGCTGCCCTCACTCCCAAGACCTTCTCTCCCCTCACCATGTCCCCTACAGCCTGTCCTCACTCAGGTTGCCACCTCTCCTTGCTGCTGGTGGGGAATCCCTTCTCCCAGCCACCTCTCAGGGTGCAGCATGAGGTCAGCTCAAGACTTTGCCAAGCTTGCTGGCTGCCAGGATATTTAACCTTGGCTATGGCACAGGGACACAGTCAGCTTAAAGAGAAGAATCTGCTGTCTTCAGCACAAATAGCTTCTGTTAGTTTGTTCCAAATCAGATATCTAATCAGTGCCATCTCAAATCCTCTTATGAGTGTGCCTTCAGCCAGAGGCACAGTTCCCAGAGCTGCCTGGAATAGGTTTACTTCATAACCCATTGCAGAAACAGGTGGGAACTGTTGTTGAGCGAGGCTTCTGCTCATTTTTGGCACACACACCTCTGTGCCATGTAGTATTTTACTGTTATCTTCAGGAAGGAAAAGGGAGAAGAAAAATGAAGAAGCAGAGAAACTATTTTCATGTGCATCATGTGAGGGTAAATCAGGATATGTTAATTGCAGAAACCTTCTTTCTTGTAACCACAGCTATCAGCTGAGATGGGACAGATAATTGGGAGGGAAATGTCTCAGTTCCTATGAGCTAATCTGGTGATGAGCAGTTAGAGTAGACCTGGGCTCGCTGATGAGGGATGCCATCCTCTGTATCAAGCACCCAGCTACACCCATGGTTTCCCCTGAGGGACACAGCTGGGGGAACCAACCAGAAGCCATCTCCCCAAACCTCCACTTACCTGGACACCTTGAACTTGGGGAAGGTGATGCTGTTCTTGATGAACAAGGTGAACTTCTCTGCTTCTGACAAGAGAGCAGGGCTGAAAAACACAAGTGTTGACATGCATCCATCACTCAGCTTTCCCACCTCTAAGGAAAGCACCATTTGGTGAAGATTCATCCAAACTGGGACAAGCAGGACCCAGAAAAATGGTGATTTCATCCCTTCCCTTTCTAAGATCCCAATAAGGTGCAGAAAAGCCCCAGGGAAGGATGGAAATGACTTTTAGGGGACAGAGAGGGCAGACAGGATAGGTGGGGGCTGCTGATCCATTCACAGAGCACCTAGCAGAGATGGGGTGAGCTGCCAGCAAGGTGGGGAGCAAACCACACCTGGAGAGACACAAATCCCCTGGGGACATGGGGCAGCATGTACAGCCACAGGGTCTGCATCAATTTAGGCTGTCCTGGCCACATCTCACAGAGCACTGGCATCCTCTGCCCTACACTGAGTGCTGTTGGTGCAGCTGGGGCAGGACTGGGATGGGAAAGGGGGAAAACAACATCATTCCTTACGTGGGAACATGGTCATCAACCTCCACGGGGCACCAGCCAAAGATCTCACAGGTCTTCACAGAGGAGTTGTAGGGCACACACTTGCCTGTCATGAGCCCTGTGGGGAAGAGAGAGAGCTGCTCACAGTCCCTGCCAGACACCCTGGCCACACAGCTCTTCTCAGTGTGTCTCAGCAGAAACACCAGGGCCACGAGCCATACCTTGTCCCTGGCGGCTGTATTTCCCTTTGGTGCAGTCACTGTCCCCCATGCAGGGCCCGGCGTCCGGCAGCTGTTTAGAGAGAGCAGCCACCTCTCAGCATCCACCCTGCAGCTTTGCTCCCTCTGTCCCTCCTGCCTCACCAGGCAGCATTTTCCTTGAGGGATACACTGCTCAACTTCAGCCAGTCTTGTCTATACACCATTTCCCAACCAAGGATATCCAAATTAAGCAGGAACAAGAGGGTATTTCTCTTTTAAACTCCAGACAGATGCTTTTATTTAAGCCTCAAGTCTGCTCTGCTTGATCATCTCAAAGGGAAGAAAACTTAAATGGTTGCTGGTCATTTTTCAGCAGAATAAAAGCCTTCACATAGCACTAGCAAGTCAGAAACAGGGCCAGGCTCAGGTTTTACTAAACCACCCAATGTCAGAAAGTCCTTCCCCAGTGCCACCACCACAACCCTCCTGAATTACAGAAGCTGAGCCAGCTGAAGGAAGCCAGTGCATTTACCTCTGGGCAGGTTCCTTGTTTCTGTCCAGGAGTGACAATGAAGTTGGTCATCACCACAAACGAGTTGTCCCCCTGTGGAGACACAGCCAACGAGCTCACAGCCAGCACCGTGTATTCTCATGGAGTCTCTGTGAGGAGCCTGTCCCTGGGGCAAGGTGTAAGGCATCCAAGCCACCAGGACACATCCAGGCAGATAGCACCTTTCTCTGTAACTTTGGGTCCTTCATCTTCTTCTGCTACTACTCAGGAAGTTGGTGGTGGCCCTGGGGACCCGCAGTGCCACCAGCCCCAAGGACAGTGGAGGACTAGCACTGGAGGAGCCTTGGTCTTCTTGGAGGCAGCCTCAACCTTGCCCCATCAACCTTGGTGGGTCCCAAGCACTGAATGCTCCCCAGGGAGCATATGGGCAGAGGTTTGTGGCAGGAGCAACCTGCTTTCCACCATAGGGACATCATCTGATGGTTAGCTCTCTGCACCTCAGCATGTGGGGAAAAGCAGCCACCAGGATGAAAGCAACTCCCCCCCAACCCACCCACCATGCCTCCTTACCTGGGGTGGGAAAACATAGTCCACGACATCCCAGATGTGAGGGCCCATGGTGCTCTCATTGGTCAGTGTCAGCCCTTTCAGCTTCACCGAGACCGAGCTGACGATGCTGTCCTGAGACTGGTAGCCCTTCTCGTAGAGGAACACCCACCTAGACAGGGAAAGGTAGTAGTGAGCACAGCCACCAGCACTCCACAAGAGCCCAATTCCCAACACAGGCCTGTGAACTGGGTTTTTTTCTATCAAGTCTCACTTTGGGGGGGTCATTTGCCAAATTTCCTCCAGTTGGATGAAGGATGTGTTGCTGAACTTTCCCACCCTTTGCCCGAGGCATGTGGTAGCTGCAGGACCTGACTTTCATGCTGGGATGATGTGTGAGGCATGCGGTAGCTGCAAGACCTGACTTTCATGCTGGGATGATGTGTTTTGGGGACTGGGACACATTTTGTGGCTGAGGGTGTGTGAAGGCAGGTGGAGCACGTTGGCCATTGACTAGTTTCGTGGCTGAGGGTGTGTGAAGCAGGTGGAGCACGTTGGCCATTGACTATTTGGGATTAAAACCTATGGCAGGTTTGCAGCTTGCTGGGCTCACTGACCCACCCAGACCCTCCTGATCTACTGCATAGGCACTCTCCAAAATCAGCACCCCCAGATCCAGCACAGGACTGAGTCTGGACACGGCTCGCCAGCGCCTGCCGTTCCCCATCCAGCAGAGGGAATGTGGAGCCATGGCCCTGTGTGCAAGGAGGCTGCAGGAGCAGGGTGAGGGACACTGCTGTGCTGGAATGGGGCTCTCCCTGCCTTTCCCAGCCCATCACACAGCCATTAGGACAGGCTCCTGACACTATTTAACCTACAGCATAAACAAGCTGCTGCTGGATTAACTCTGAGTCAGGGAGACTATAAACATGGGCGAGGAACCATTTCGGGTAGTGCTCCCGGCAGCGCGGAGCATTCCCGGCCCTAAAAAAGGAGTGATCTGGATTTTGTCCCCATTGCCATGGGCATCGATCCTGCTGGCCGTGGCAGAGGCAGCACAGCCTGTGGGACAGTCTGTGACACCATCCTGGCGTGTCAACCTGTCCTCTGGCTGATTGGCAGGGGGAAAAAATGGGGAACCCTAAGTGCTGCCCAGAGGTTTGTCCCATGGGAGCTGGACCTTATGGGGATCTCTTGGGGTTGGTGCTTCTTGGCTTGCAGCTTCTGGGACAGAGAGCAAGGGGACCTCAGGGATGGCATCTGCCCCAGTGACTGGGGATGGGAGCAGAAATTCAGCTCTGCTGCCATCCCAGCTGGGACCCACAGCTCCAACATCCTTCTCCAAGGTAGAAGACCACACTGGGTTAATGTGGTTACACTGGGCATCTTCCCTGATGCCTTTGGGGCTGCAGGAGACTGTGAGCTGGGCAGCATCATAGCAGAGCATTTCCCTAACTCTCCCTCACCCCTGCCTGGCAGAGGTGACTGCAGGCATACAGGGCTGCACACCTCCCTGGGACACAGCCTCCCCATGGCACGACAGGATGTGGCCCCCACCCTGCTGCAAAGCCATGGTCACAGCAAACAAATCACCATTTCCCCATGCGGCTGTGAATGCTGCAGTGAGCTCTGCCCAGGTGGTCAAAGTCCCTTGGTGTCACTTCCCAATGTGGCAGGGTCACCAAGCCTCTTCCCTCTCTGGGTCCATCCTGTAGCTCAGTTTGCAGCAATTTGCATGCAAGGTTTTAGGGAATGAAACCCAGATAGTGCCCAATATCTCCTGACCAGCAGCGATACCACCTTATCACAGCTATCAGAGGAAAGAAGAGCTGCTCCCCAGGGGTGACACTGGGTCTCTCAGTGGGGTTGACCCCACATCTGTGCACTGATGGCACTGCCCATGTCCTTCCACACATACCCACGAGCATCGTATGCCTGCAGCCAAAGTGGGGACCAAAGCTGGGGAAATTGTAAATGTATACATATTTGGCTGCCAAACTGGATTTCGAAGGCGAGAAAATCTCAGGCATCATGGCTCAGCGTGGGCAGGGAGCTGGGGAGAGTACTGTGGGCAGGAGCTGGGAACAGTAGTGTGGGCAGGGAACTGGGGACAGTGCTGTGGGCAGGGAACTGGGGACAGTGCTGTGGACAGAAAGGTGACACCAGTTTCTGGCGGGGCTGTGGGCAGCTGCACTCCCAGGCAGCCCCTTGCTAGTGGAGCCTGACTCCAACAAACCAGGAAAAACTCAGGAATTACAGCAACTTTACACACTCCTCCCCTCTGCCCTTGGCTGTCACCCACAAGCTGGTTCTCTTTCTGCTCCCTCCTGGCTGCCTGTCTCACTTTATCTGGGTTGCTTAAACCATGTTTTGTTAGGAAGTCCTGCTCTGAGCAACCATCTGTGCCAGTTCCCCATCTGCAGGAGTGGCTGCCCCCAGCCACATTTGCTGGAGCTCTGGGGCTCCACAGGTTCAGTCATTAGGAGAGCCAACACCTCTCCCAGTAACACCAGTCTGGGCCAATGAAAAACCCTTTGCAACAGAGCATCCTTGAGACTTTGGCTGAGCTGCAGTTTGGGATGTAGATTACTCTTGTGAGCCAAAGCACTGGGTGCAAGCGACATGGGGGTCCCATAATGACCACCTGGGAAGCTTTTTTCCATTTCCAGGGAATCTGTGCTAAAAGCAGGGATGAGCATCACTGCTCCCCATAGCAACTTGCTTGCACTGAGCATGAGATGCCCTGCACCACAAAAATACCCAGATCTTCCAATTCATGGCCAGACACCCTTTTTCCCTTCAAACCTCCTGCCATAGGGCCCTTTCTGATGGAAAAGTGATAGTCTCACTCTAGGGCTGAGCTCACAGCTGCCATGAAGCCACAGGAAAGACTTATCAACCACTGAATTCCATAGCATGGTGCATGATCCAAGGGGACAGGGAGTGTGGCAGGAACAGCAGCCCCAGGGTGCTGGAGGACACATACCCTCACCCAGCTCTGCTCCCTCCTGCTCCACTCACTGCCTTTTTTAACTAGTTGCCCTTGCACTACAGCTGCTCTCCCAGAAGCAAAGCAGACCAGGAATTTGGAGCCAGGCTCTGTCTCAGCCCCAGCGTCAGCGCGGTGGACAAGGGAGATTTATGGTCCTGTCTCGAGCCGCTTGGGTCTCACAAATCACTGCACTGGCCCCAGATGCCTCTTATTTAATATAAATGAAAATAAAAATAACAACAGATTCTCAGGCCATCGTCCAGCAGCTCGAGCAGGATTTGGATGAAGCTCAGCGAGGAGACGGGGCCCCGGAGCACGGAGCAGGGCTGGGCAGGGATGAACCTCCAGCCTGCACACACAGCAGCTCCTGGGGAGGATGTGACTCCTGGGAGACCTGTGGTGGGACACTGGGCTGCACAGGAACAACCACAGCCAGAGGGATGTGATGCCATCAGCAATAACCCCCTCTGCCCTGGGATAGAGGAGCCCCTTCATCTCCACTGCCAGTGGCAAAGCATTAATTTTAGGGCAAGCAGGTGCCAGGGAGCCTTACCCGATGATGTATGCCAGGACAATGAGCTGGATCAGACGGAAGGTCAGTCCTATCTTCTTGTTCCTCACCAACACCATCCGGGGAGTGTCATACTCAAAGAGGAAGGAGGACAACTTATCCATGCACTTCTGCCCCATGTCTGTGCCAGGGCTGTGCCGCAGCCTCCCGGCAGCTCTGCTCTGCCCTGTGCCTTGGGTTGGGCAGTGCCCGACGCCTCTCCAGCAGCTCCTGCTCCTCTGTTTGCAGAGAGGAGGGGAAAAAAAAAGACAGTCAGAATGCTATCGGCGTGGCTCCGTGCACATCTGGGCTGTCGGGTTTCCTCCTCTGCGCAGGGATGGAGCTTCCTCTTCATATAAACTCTGGGCTGGGAGCAGCGGGTGCCCTACATGGTCCGGGGGTGGGACAGGGTGCGGGAGGGTGCAGGGCCACCCTGCTGCTGAGCCCACGTGCCACCAGGACCAAGCTGTCTGCCTGCAGGGGATGCTCCCTCACCCAGGCAGGAACCCTCCCTGGGGATGGAGGGATGGTGGGGATGAGCAGGGACCATGGAGCATCCCTGGGGACAACAGTGAGATGGAAGAGATGGTGGATGTCCTGGAGGAGGATTTTAGGAACTGGGATTGGGGTATCATCTTTCCTACCCCAGCAGCTGTCTCAGGCTGTGAGTCTCCTGTTAGTGTCCCAACCCTGTGTCTGCCTCTGTCCCCCAAAGGCTGTCCCAGAAAAAGGGTCAGGAAAGAGGAGAGAGGCACAGAGAGCCCAGCTCAGTGATTTGGGGCTGACCCACGGGGCAGACGGTGCTTGCTGGGCCCCCTCCCATGGTGAAGCTGCCCAGCTGGGCCTTGGCTCCTTCCCAGCACTTACATGGGCCTGGGCTGGGTGCGTTTCAAAGCATTTTCAGCATTTCCAGTATTTCCTGAAAGGCCCAGACGGGAGCAGGGCTGGGTGAGCCGGGGTGAGCCAGGGTCACAGCGAGGGATGCTCGGCAGGGTGGTGCAGGCACCACTTTTAGCAAATACCACTGAGAAAGGGACTGGATTTGAATATGCCAGACTGAAATTCGGGGAGCAGCACCCCTGCAGTGGGAAGCTTTGGTGGGGGAGGTTGACTTATTGCTGGGGAAAGCAGAGAGGCTGTGGATAGGGGACCCTGTACTCCCATTGCATCCCACCAGGCAGCTCCAGGGCACAGCCCCACAGGGGTGAGCTCTTTGCTGGGGAGCACTGGGGCTCAGGAGGGTTGGTCTGGGGGGAAACAGAAGTTGTTTTCTCTCAAAATCCCAGAGCTGAGCCACTTCAGCACTCCCTGCAAGGACAGACAACTAAGCCCCTGTTCATCTGCTGCCTCCCGTGAGACAGAGGCTCTGGCTCTCTGCAGCCTGGGACAAGGGCCCTCCCTGCAGGAGGAGATGATTTTAGAAATGTGGAATAGCTCAACCTGCTGGGATTAATCTTTCCACAACATTCCATTTAGCATCACAACCTCTCTATTAATCTTTCCAGAACATTCCATTTAGCATCACAACCTCTCATGTCCAACTGCCCATCACTTGCTGCCACGTTGACCTTTTGAGTCAATATATTACAGGCCTGACAACCGCGAAGTGAGTGGAATGAATCGATTATCTTTGCTGGGCAATAGGGAAAACTGGGAAAAAGCAACTGAACCATTTATCCAAATCTTTTGGGCATACCATGAAGCTCGGGAATCAAAATCAGATGATCCCACCTTACAAATGACATGATACCACCCCAACGCCCCAGTCCTCAGCAACATGGAAAGCTGTCAGACAGAGAGCCAAAAGCAAATACAAAATGCTGATGCTAATCATACAAGATTGAAGGCTGATACTGCTATTGAGCAGAGCAGACAAACCTTATAAGCTTAGATATCTGTCAGGAGAGAAGCAAATAACTAACTGTATGAAACGAGGCCTTTTAGGGAAGGCTGCTCACCCTTGCCAAAGCCATGGGGATAATGAAAATAGGACAGCTAAATTTAACAGCAAAATGACTTGTAAAAGAGTCACTTCTAACCTCCTCTCTGGTACTTGGAGTCAATAAAATGGTTATAGCATGGATTTAGCAAAAATACTTTCCATTGGGAGATAATATACATCTCCCATTTTATAATCTCTTGGAGCAATGTTGCAGACAGCAAGTGGGGCCAGACCCTATGGATGTGTCCAGGGTGATGTGGAGAGCAAGGGACCCCAGCACAGGAGCACCCACAGGGCCTGGGTTGTTGTACCCTGGGTTGGTATCAGCTTCCATCATGGGCACCCTCTTGGCCACAGCTCCCAAATGTTTGAAAAAAACCCATAGCCTAAACCCTCCTGGGCTTGCACATCACCATCACTCACACCTCTCCTGTGTCCTTGCCATCCCTGGGTTTGTCACTTCAAATGGGAATTTAATAGGTTTGGGCTGGCATTGCTCAGCTATATGGCCCTGCAATGGCACCACAGTGGTGCCAGGTGGCTGGTGTGCCCTGCTGCTGCCACACCTCCCCACCTCTGCCAGGTGGTTGTTGTGGGGCACTGCCCTGCTCAGGCTGTGCCCAAGGAGAGGCTGAGATCATGGGGCTGCGATGCTTTCAGCTGTGGCACATGTGCTGGGCTCTCCTGATGCCAGCTCAGGACTTGTTTCCTGTTTGCTGTGATAATAAACATATTATTGGAACATCTAAATGAAAAATCAAAATAGAATTAAGGGAAAGGTTTTTCTCAGTCTACTGTGCAAGGTACAGCCCAGTAGGGCTCACACACAGCTTGGACCTCAAGGATGGGTTTTATCGTGGGTTCCTGACTTTCATGGTGCTATCAATGCACTCCCAGTCACGAAGAATAGTCATTTCCTCTGAATAACTTTTCTATCTCTTGGCTGCATTCAAGCAGACTAAGCAGGAGGCCTCAGTGGGTGCTTTTCCTGCAGTGATGAGGTGCAAAGGCTGCAGATAGCACTGAAGGAGCAGCCACAGCTGGAGCTCAGCTGCAGTGGGTCCTGGACACTTCCATTGAACACACTCAGCCTCTGCTTGGAGCTGTCAAGAGAAAATGCAAAACCTGGTATTTTTAAGGGAGATGTTTGGAATTGTAAGTAATTCCTTGCTTTGAGCAGGGACACGGACCCAGAGGATGGAGGAGTTGCTGGAGCACAAAGGTGATCTGAAATCCTCTGCATGGGGCTTGATCCCACTTGCACCCAGGAAAGCAAAGCTGTAGAAGGCATAAAAGCCACCAAGTCTTTCCAGGCTCTCAGATATTGCTTTTCCAAAAACTTATTGGGGGGCAAAGAAAATATATAAATAATAGGTGAAGCTCATACATAACCCAGACTCATGTTTGGCAGCATCCAGAACAGAGCACTAAATTTCAGCACAAATATGTGCAGCACGCTGCAGATCTGGGGATGGGGAGGAGTAACACAGTGGCAAGATTTAAAATATGATGGTGGGTGCAAAGAGTTCCTGCTGTGCTCGAGGCTGCCAAGAAGAGCCCCTGAGAGTTGGTGGCTCATCCCAACAATTTTGGCTGCCACAGACCCCCTTGCCCTCCCTCACCAGCCGTAGTGGATGCTCACACTGCTCCACTGGCAATGGGAAGGGGAGGGTGGAAAAAAACTGACAGATGAGAGCAAGCAAGGTCCTACAAAACAGCATGTTCAGTTTTCTTTCCAATTTTAACTTGTCCTTGACCTCTCTTCGCTCCCTCCCAGCAGGGCTGGCTCCACTCCGCGCTCGTCCCGTGCTGCGACGCCTGGGCGCAGGGAGATGTTTTTGGTGGTACTCACCCCACAGAAGTGGCATTTCCATCACTGGTTGCTGTGACAACACATCTCCCTGGAAAAACTTTGGTGGTGGCTTAGCCAATGCCAAAGCAAACATGAACCCGAGATGCTGGGGGCACTGAAGAGTGTCAGTGGCCCTTGGGGCTGCTGAAGCGTGGCATGCACATCCCTTGGGGTGGCTGGACATTTGCCATGGGGGCTGAGGAGCCATGGGGTTAGTTTCTTTTACAGGGGAAAACACCTGCTTTCCAAATCATGCCTCCAAAGGGCACACATAGACCCAGAGGTGATGGTCCCCAGTCATCCAGGGACCAATGCAACATCAGGTGGGGAATTCAAGAGGTTTTGCCTCACCACTATGTACTGACACAGCACTGCAGCCTCAGGGGGGACCAGCTTGAGGGTCACCTCAGTAGTAGTGGTCTTCATGTGCCAACACTGGAGACCAGATCTGCATTTGGAAAGAGGAGGCCAAGCAATGGTCCTTTTCCAAAACCATCATTCTCCTGCGTATCCCATATCCCTCTTTGCAATCCCATGTGTTACAAAGTCTTTGGGTTACCCTGGGCAGTCCTTTTTTCCTTCTCCTAGCATTGGGAAGGAGCATATGGACCCACATCCCAGCAAAAACAGACCATGGACAGATGTTGCCATGAACACAGATTAGCTCCAAAACACAAGCCACAGCTGCATCAGGATTTTCCACTCAAAACATCACCATGGGCAGAGCTGCGGGTGATGTGCAGATGGAAACAGGCCCTGAGCCCTGTGCCATCCCCCCAGAGGAGGCCAAGTTACTTAATTATTATTTATTTCATAATTACTTCTTGTGGAGGTTATTTCAGGGCTTATTTAAACCCCTTCTCTCATTTGGGGGAGATAAGGTGAGGACTATTCTGGATACAGTCAAAATTAGCACTGTTATTTGTATTCTTGTGCCCCAAGAGCGAATTAAAAAATTCCCAACAGTCATATCATGCCACTCCGTTCATTTTGCCTTTGTCATCCCATGCCAGGGACAAGCTCAGCTCCATTTCTAGTTTGGCTCCTCTGAAAACCCACAAGAAATCCTGATCTGGTGAGCACAACTCCTTTTACGGCTGAAGAATGCCCTCAGGCACTCCCATATGGCCCCACGGGTTCCCAAATGTCCCCCAAATCAGCCACAAACAGGATAAGAAAAGCAAAAAAAAAAAAAAATATAGTAAAACAAAAACAACAACAACAACTAGAGGAAAAAAAATCCCAGAGTCATCCAGTAAAATTGCTTTTATTTCTGTAATTTCCTAAGTATAAAACAAATCAGCCCAATATTGTGTGAACAGAGTGGATCGTATGGATGTGACCAC